TTGTCACTGACGCACGATGAAAATTCATCTTGTGTTTTTTAAACATTATAAATACAGACAAGAAAATCATACAGTTCCGTTGTTAGCTTCTTAAATAAGAAAATATCGAAAAGTAATTTATGGTATAATAGGATGTTTTTATCGTCGATAAGACTTCAAGTATGCGTTGTCCCCGAAATATAACATATCAATGTTGTGCAAATGTTAGCAATTGAATTGTTGAATTTCGTGATGTCATATCGGTCAGTTAACGGTTATAACGGCTCGTAGAACTAGAATGATTGTTGCATGACAGGTGCAGTACTATTATTTTTATATTAATAATGGAAGTCACTGATTTAAAAGACCTATAAGTGCCTATAACGATAGTATTAAATTTTCTAAATTTTGGAGTTCGACTATGCTATTTTAAAAATGTTGTATAGGAGCCCCTTATACCTTTTTTGTTTTATTATGTTTTTCAGTATTTATTATAGTGGCAACAGAAAAACATCATGGGTAAAAATTTTAACTATCTCTAACCATAGCTATCACGGTTCATGAGATGCAGCCTCGAGACAGACGGACGGACGGACAGCCTTAACCCGTCGCCGAACGCAGCGCTATCGCGTCAAGAAGCATCAATGAAGTAAAATCTAATTCAGAAGATAGTAATGATGCCGATTCTGGGCAGTTTTTATAACAGAATCGTACAACTGTACCCAAGGATAATTAACGTAATTCTATTAGGTAAATGCTTTCATTGAATGTCCCTCGTTCTTCTGTGTGTCACCAGGCTACGGTTGTTGTGATTTACACACTAAGGGGGAGGGAGGGGACGGTCCGGCTTGGGTCGCAAGTCCTGCAGCCATCCTCCAAAATCGTAATAATATAATAAGGTTAAAAATATAATATAATAAGGTTAAGTATGCGCGCTGGGGGGGTTAATGCAGTTTCTACCGTGCCCTGCGATTCTGTAAAAATCCAAACCCGAATTCGAATTCACTCAGGTGTCCAAATTCACTTAAAAAAACGGTATCCGCTCCGCTCAACTTTGAATTAATAATAACGTTTTGTGGCATAAGTGAAGTGAGTTTCGGAATGACATAGGAATAGATCTGAGACACGTACATATATTCAATCAATTTCGTTTTGTATTTTTAGGCAAAAATGGAATAAATGGAATTTCTTTACTTAATGACGTGAATTTGGATACATGAGTGAATTCTAATTTGGATCTGGATTTTTACAGAATTGGAGGGCTGTTTATAAAATGTTGTGGTTCTGGGCCTATTGCCGCCCCGGATCGTCACTAAGGCGTCCAGAATAAGTAGAAGGATCCATGAATGAATTAATGAATTAATTAATTGACAAATATAGGTCATTAACCTCCGCGTATAGTTGTGGTATCTTCATTGCCTCAGATACTCCATAATACAAGGTCCAAAGATTACAATATTATACGGGGTCTTTATCTAAGCAATTTTTATAATGTTGTTTAATATTTATTTATATTAGGACAAAATATATAAAACAGACATTCAAATTAAGATATTCAATGTTTATAATGCCAATGTACGACACTGAAGTGAAAAAACTAGTAATGTCTTTAAATAATACTAGCTGACCCGGCGAACTTCGTACTGCCTTAAAATCGTTTAAAAAAATCTTATATACAAACTGTATCATGAATAGCGTAAAAAATAAAATCATCTATCTTGGTGCAGTCGGAACTGGAATTCGGAAGTTTCGGCCATTCATTTTTATTCATCGATATTTAATAGCTCGCCCGGTCATTTTTTATTTTTCGATAACTCATTCATTACTCATTAGTTTTTTTTTTTTTTATATAGTGTAAAAGGAAATTTACTTACGTAAAAGGACTTAATTTTTTAAATAAGGATGAATACTGTACTATTAAAAATAGGTTTGTAAATAACCCATCATTTTACTGTTGTTAAACTGTACTTATACTTAAGTAAAAAAATGGTTATTGTGAGTTATTCTTGGAATATATATATTGGATTGGATTGGATTTGCTCTTATTTAAAAAACGTCAACATTGTTACAAAACTTTATAGAAAAAGAAAAAATATAATTTACTTCAGAATATACATGCAATGAATGCAAGGACCATTTTTATTTTAAACTTACGTTATTTATATAGGTCTATATCTATAATAATATTATAAAGAGGGAAGATTGATTTTTTATTTGTTTGCAAAGAATAGATTCCGAAACTATTGGACCAATTTATAAGTCTTATCTACAGGAAGCTACGTAATACGCGTTGGATATAGGCTATAATTTACACAGATAAAGTCGCGGAGAAACAGCTAGTTTGATAGAAATTGGTTCACATTCAAGAAGAAATCGATTTTCATATCTACTTTCATAAAAAATATACATAGATACTCCTTGAACATAGAAAATCCTCCTTACGGATTTTGAATAAATTCAAAATACGCATTCTTTTGTTTTTAGCAGTGATACATGAAATAGAATACATATCATCTAAATATTGAGGTGAAATATGGTGAAAATCGTATTATGTTTTGTTATAAAAGGAAAACTACTGATTTGATTTCGATAAAATTTAAATGGAAGCAACAAATCTATTAGTTGTCGTATGAAAAAAATAAAATCAGGTCAACAATTGACGGAAATATCGATGAACATACATATAACCTAATTTTGTATTTTAAGACAAAAAATGGAATCAATAGAATTTCTTTACTAAATGACGTGAATTCAGATACATGAGTGAATTCAAATTTGGATCTGGTTTTTTCGGGCTATTATCCATGCTATTAGTGCACATTATTTTTTTTGTTTTTTTTTTTTTGTTAATCAAATATATTTAGTAGTATTATTTTTAATTTCATCTAATAAATATCATATATGTTAATGGAAATCTATTTGAATTTTCATAACATTAAATTTATCAGGCATATTGACAAAAATCGGTCATTAACCTCCGGGTATAGTATGGATATCATAAGTAGTGTTTATTATGTTTATTCTTATGTAGCGTTATTTTGTATCGTAGGGGGATGCATTATGTACTGTTCCTTCAGCTTTAAAGGCGACAGGGAGTGTGGGACTTTCTATTTCCACGAACCTGTAGAAAATATATATTTTTAAGCCTTGCTATTGCTTAATGGTGATATCAATGAATATTATGAAAGAGAAGTTAGCTACGTTAATTTAACACCAGGAAATTATTAATTCAAATTCGATAATATTATCGACATCTGCGAAGTATCATTGCAACCCAATTTTTATATAATAACATTAAAACTGTATTGTATTTGAACTGACCATTATTTTTCTGGCAGGTTGTTATCGGCACATAAGATTTACTTATTTTATACATTCGCTTTTTTTTATTTTTACGGGTAAATAAACAGTGAAACAATTTACATAGAACTTACAAAGTCAAAACAGATGAGATATAATTGCACACCAACACCGTTCACCACATCATGATCAAAACATAATCAGCTTAAAAGTGGTCGCACATTAAGTTTTCTCAAATCCATAGCAGAGCATTTAACTATAATTAAAAATCTTACAATTTAGCAGTATAATTGAGAATACCTACAAAACACATGTTTATTAAACTTCTTTAAGTGACATACGATACAATTCCAGTTCTATTTTAGCTTGAATTGTATCGTATGTCACTTATTAGAATAGAAAAACCATTAAAAACTGTAGTTTTATTCGGTTTCGATCCGTTTTCGATTCGATTTTAAACTAAATTTATTTAGTAGAATTGGCCCCCTGGAGAATTTTGGATACACCACCCTGGAGGGCCCTAGTCCTATATAAAATTGTATCTAACGATTTGTCTTATTCCTGTGCTATTTTTTGCTATTAAATTTGATAATGGTGTGTTCAATAAATCATACTTTCATTCATTCATATTGAAATACCCTAAATTCCTTTCCTTATTTACTCGGAAAACTTTTATCAACCTCAAGTTTAATATCTATTTCATTACCTTGTAAAAACTTGTTTGTAGAGTTAAGCGTTTTTAACTTTAGAGGTTGGTAATGTCAAGATAGTTTATATCAATGTTATAAGCTCTAACTTCGGGCTGTCTGGATTTCTAAATAAATTACGTATTACGACTTACGTATTACGTAATTTATTTAGAAATCCAGACATTATCATTTTGAGGAAAATCCGTGGATATAATATTCAATTTGTCGTAATATGAGTATTAACTCATTTACAGGCTGATGTAACTCATTTTAGTAATTGAGATTTATTATATTTTTCTTGATAATTTTTTACAAAATGGTTTTTGTTTAAATAGAAAAATATAATTTCATTATTGTAAAATGCACTGATAACGTATACGTGCAAGTTATTTATCATATTCAGATGAAATCCAAATTTAATTAATTCATGCGTATTGTGATATCATATTATTATTAATTTCCGTAATAGGATTTGTAGTAGAACGGTTTTGAATGATGATGAATGTAACGAATCGGTTTTGAATTATTATTTTTAAACTAGTTTACGTTGTGCTTTATTTATTATTGCAAAAAGGTCATATATGAGACCAAACGTAGAGTCCAAAGTATGTAAATTGTTATAATAAAGATTGCCTAATGTTTGGTTTCAGGAAAGGCAAAATCATTGAATAACAGGCTTAATACTATTTCAACTATCTCTAAAGAATTTTATGGGTGTAATGGTCGTTTAAATCTATTATTAAATGCAATGTATATTAAATTCAATTATTATATTCGTTATCAAAAACATATCAATTTCTTAATACCACTGCAAGGTCTATGGTACACGATTTTCGGTCAATATCATTAGAAGTTTGGCAAACTATTGGTAGGTAATGTTGACATTTATCACTTACCTATAGTAAATGGTCAGAAAACAATTTTTTTTTTTTAATCTAATACGTACTTTTACACGTTTTATTATCACTGTATAAAGTAGCACATTATAAAAAAACACGTGCTTAAAATTTTTGTGTATAATATACGACGTACCTACGACCCGTTTGGGACCACTCGTCACGCGGAAAACGTCTCGAGCTGCTAGAGCGGCACGGGTAACTATCGGCCAACTGGCGCCTTGCCGAACGTGGACGTAGCAGTCGTTCGATCGAGTATAAAGTTCAAATTATCACTCGCGAGCTAGCGGTCGCGTAGAGTTCGCGCTTTTCGCGAAAACAACCAATGGAAATTAAAAAAAAAAACTTATCACTATTAAACTATATTTGATTTTTTTGTTACACACATCACCTTCCGCAGCGGCTGTTGGTCTGCTTTAAATTTTCAATGCGCATTGATAAATATGGCGAAGTTATCAGTGACACTGATCACATCTGAAAAGTAATTAGCCGAATTCTATCTTATCATTAATCGAATATCCTTAGTAAAACATGATTCATTATTAACACATGTCTATTAACGGAAATAAGTTTCCTTTATATTTTTGATCGAGAACTTAAGTTTTTCGTAGAACACTCGAAGCATATGCTATGTTGCTTATTATTTTAACGTGTTTTTTTCACCCAGGAGGTCACGGCCTTTGTCGTGAAGAGAAAATCTTATGTTGTTTACAATCCTACCTATCTCATAAAATTACTTAGTAGGTACTACGCAAAGTAGATAGCTGCTTTTTTCGTTTTTACTTATCGTTGTACAATTATATTACAAATACCTAAACGGAATAATAATTTTGATAATCTCTTTGCGAGTAAGTGCGATAGAAAAAAATTAAAAAGTCTTATAAAATATTATTTATGTGAAATATATATATTTTTTTTTTGCTACTTCTTATTTATTATGGATGCAAATCGAATATACTCTTTATTTCTCAGCCAGTTAGGCAACGAGTTAAAGTTTATCCAGATGTCTTTAAGAAATACATTTTAAATTATTAATATTTTTAATTTGTAATAGTAATACATAATAATAGTAGAGTAGTGTATTATTAATTAATAAGCCAACCCAACTCCGCTTTGATGCTTTTTAGGATTTTTACAGGTTTTATTAAGTGAGGTGAGAGATCTCAGATTCAATCGTCAACCTGAATAGTTTTTGTTTGAGTTACGTAATATTGCTTTTGATTGTCACTTGGCCGGTTTCTGAATTGAGAAAAGCACAAAATCAAAACAGATTATTCTCAATAACTTAAGTTTTTTACGTTTCATATGGCAAAAAGTACTAGCTTTACCAAATTGCTATTAACTGATCATTAAAAAATAATGAATCAGTAATGAAAACCTGTTTAATGACGTTTAAAATGGCTTAAGCACGGTTTGAGACGTGCTCGACTTCAAATTCTCAATTCAGAAACCGGGCGACTAACTACCCGCTTGTGCACATCTTTGTTTATGCAGAGCGAATGTGCGCGGTGTTACAAAGATTACACTGCGTTACAAATGAAAAAAAATATTAAGTACCCGCTATGAAATGTCATGTTTTCCTATTTATTCCTATCGTTTAGTAAGAATACATACATATTTTCTTTTTATAACGTCTCATTTTTTTCCGTGAGGATATGACAAATTACGCTAAAAATTTAAAGATTCAAACATAATTTAAAGATATCTAATAAAATGTACAAGATATTTTTCATTAATCGAGTTTATTTTTTATCATTTTGGTATAAAAAATACAAGAAAAATCAATGCATACAATTTAAACCCAGAATACCTTTATATTTTTATTTTATCTTTTGTGTTTTGAAGGACCTTCTCATTTAAGACGCCAGCAGTAATCGCCTAGCATAGTTGTATCCCAATGGCCTAGAAATCGTCCTTCAAGCTTCTTTATATCTTGGTGGAACCTCTCATCACTGTCAGCACCAAGATTAGATAGAAAAAAGAAAAGTGGGAATGAAGAAAGTTAATTTTTGCCGGCAGTCTACAACCCAACTTTCCGTATGCTTTTAACATATAGTTAAGTAGCTGTTCCGCATTTTCGGCTGTATGGTTCCCTAAAACCTATTTTACAGTGATAACCAGGCATCTGTCGTCATTATATTTTACAACATTTGGCATATCTTGCGCTTCTGAAATCCTAATTTCATCTTTGGTATGAGGTAATGGAGGAGGCATTTCTTCTTTGTGAGGTATTTGTTTCAAATATAAAGGAATGTCAGGATACTGAATGATGTGCTTGATTTTCTTTTAAAAATTCACGTATGTCAGTCATCCAAAAGTAGCAATCATAAAAATGATTACTAGGTCCACGCCATAAAACTGGTACGGCAAATGGCATTGACGTCTTGTTTCCATTTAACCAAGATATGAGAGTAGCATAGCACGTAACACAAAAAACTGTGGTATCCATGATTTATCTTGATTTACACATCCAAAATAAAGTAAATATGCACTTCTCACTTTTATGAAAACTGAAAAAAAATGTACTGTCCACAAACATAACAAATCTTATTTATTTGGTTCATTTTTACAGTCGCGACGGCTTAGTTCAGTATTCATGTTGGATTTTTAAATAAATATGTTTAGAGATATCGAGGTTATCGAATAAAAACGATTTATTAATAAAACAAAACAATAAAAAAAGTATAATACATCGAAAACTTCAACTGTTTCTTTTACTCCTAAAGTGAGAGTTTAAAATAATGATTGACATGTACCTCGAAAACCAGACGTGATGGATACCACATATATTTGGAACATTTTATCTGTGACTCATTACCTATTCATTCCAGGTATCAGTTTAACGGGTACCGAAATCGTGTAACGCAGTGTTATAGGTGAAGCTCCTGTGGGTGGCTTGATCTATTTCTTGAAGTCAATATTATTATTTTTTTTATAATTTTGTAGTTTCATTATAATATAATGCAATAAATTCACATTTATGACGTTTTTTGTAATTTGGACCTTAAAATAAATTGGAAATTTTATTTCCACGTTTTAATATAATTCAACTGTAAGTAGATAAATGAATTATGATGTAAAATGTTTTGAGGTGCCCTTGAATAAATACTTTTTATCCTGGGGCTTTAAAATAAATAGATACTATCGAAAGAATGCTTAAATAGATTATGATTATGTGGATTTAGTTTTTTGTTATCTGTTGCTTAATAAGTATTCTTTATATGTAAATTTTAGTATATTCCAGGTATCTATATTAAAAATAAATTTTGTTTGTATCATCATTTAGGGGGTGTAGAGTATTCTTTTAATTTTAAAGCTACATAATTTATAATAGTTTATAATTTAGATAATTCATCTATTTATCGTGTTATTGAAACACTCATTATTACTCGCATGATTATTAAATGTAATGTTAAATCAAGTGCATAACAAAAATAACAATTTACTTCTAACCAATCAACGATAAACAAAATGTGAACCTTAACAGATATTCCAATACTACAGCATAAGAACATTCTTTTATATTTATCTTTTTATGTTAACTTTTAAAATTACTTCAAATAAATTTAATCATTAAATTTACCTAATTGATTATTTATTGGTTGTTTAGGTGTCAATGTGAACTTTTTATTTCGTTATTTAAAAATAAAGAAAATACCTACACCTTTTCCTTTTTTTAGGGATTACACAGGGACTGAGGACAGATTTTTAGAAATACAACCCCAAAGAGGATAAGTAACGGTGAAAATGTTTGTATAAAAGTTCTTTGTTTTTAACTTATATTTGATTAGTCATTGTAACTATGTATGTCCGTATCGTGATATGAATTCTTATCCAAATCCCTCCAAATCCATTATTAAATTATTTAGGATGTTTACGTAAAAATATTTATATTTTTTTGTAAAAAGGTCTTAACCTTGTGTATCCTTTTACACTTAAAATACTTTTGTTATTATTCTAAACTTTTACACCAAATAAGATACACTGGTATATTTTCCTTTTTAGTTCCATTCATCATACATCGTTGGAGTTCATGAACTTCTTTGGATTCTTCATACTTCATCGGATTGTTTCGGATTTCATCGTACTTCGTTATACTTCAATTGATATCATAGAACTTCATCAGAGTTCATCGGAAGTCATCCGAATTTAAAGTAATTCATCGAACTTTATTGGGCTTCATCTTAGTTCATAAGACTTCATTGGGTATAATTGGACTTCATCGTACTTAATCGAAATTCCTTGTACTTCATTGGAATTCATTAGACGACATCGTATTCTATTGGACTTAATTTTACTTCTTTAGTTCTTAATTTTATTTCAGCGGACTTCGCCTTACTTCATTACATTTTATTGGACTTCATTATACTGCATCAGCCCTCATATTAGATTCTTTACACTCAGGGTTGCCATCTGTGTTTATTAGCTTTTCCCCGCGACTTCACTCAGGTTCGCCCACGTATTATGTAGCTCCCCAAAGATGAAAGAATCACTTAATTATTAATAACCTACAGGATACCTCCGCCCGATTTCAATAGCATTTTCTTAATGAGTATTATTTAGTATCCAAAGAGTATTATTATACTTATTATTTACCCTAAGGTCACAGTAGACCCGCGTCTAGGGCAGCCAGTAATTGCAAAAATATTGTGTGGCAAAGACTAAATTATGAAATACCGTGTACTGACAAATTGTATCTTCACTTTTTTATCCAAGACTTAATCCAAATTCTTAAATTGAGATCGGTATATAAGAATGGGAAGTATTTACATGGAATAACGACTTATTACTCATTGACAGAACGATGACGTCTATTCTAAATTGGTATATACTCTTGCGGCCCGGTTTTAAAGAAGGTACTTGTGAGGAAAATATTAGGGGTAAGTATGAAATTACCGTTTTATTGTAATAATTTCTTGAATTGACATAGAATCTTCATGGTTTGAGGTTTTCGAAAGAAACTCTTTTCACATGGTTTGTATGATGTCCTTCTTTTAAAAAATGTGAAACATTTCAATATGTTTTTGTTATTCAACTTAGATAGAAAGTTGGATATTGCGAAAATTCGAGTGTTTATTGAATACTAGTTCCGACGCAGAAGTAACGCGTCAGAAACAGCCCGCAAAATCAATGTTGCGTTTGGAGAGTGGTCTGCTAATGAACGCGCCTTGCGATTTTGGTTTAAACTCTTTCGTGATGGAAACTTCGACTTGAAGAACGAGCCACGAGGAAGACCTGTGTGGGACAGGTGAATAACGATGAATTAAGAGAGATGGTGGAAGCCGGTCCTAGTCAAGCTACCCAGGGATAAGCGGTATTTGAGTCAAATGAATAAAATAAAAAATACGAAAAACATGTGCCTCATGATTTGACTGATCTGCAGAAAGAAACGTGTGTTAAAACTTGTGTTGCCTT